TCAAAGTGATTTCTAGTGATTGAACTTCACTTCTAGTTGTGATGGTTTGGACTAGAGGTGGGCATGGGTTGGGTTGGTTTTTGCTTCAACCCAAACCCAACCCAGCATGATCGGTTTGATCATAATTTAACCCAACCCAACCCAATCAAGTATTGGTTGGGTTGGGTTTGGTTGATCGAGTTGTGACAACTTGTCAACACAAACTAAAGTATGCGGGTCGGGTTGGTCGGATTTATAATTGACTTATGACTTATATAATATTTGGTCTCCATAGTTGTAATGAACAAAAAAATCTGGATTATTTTGGCACTTCATGCCCCATAAATGTTACATGAATAGATTGATATTAAATTATATGAAGTCAAGAAATATTTTTGTGTTGAATGTGTATTTGCTTATACTATATTTGATAAAATGCATACTATTCAAATCTTATAATATTATTCTAAAAGTTTTCATATCTTGTGCCATATTCAAGACNTGCATTCTATCAAAATCTTATAATAATATTCTAAGAATTTCCAAGCAACATCATAACACTTGTAAAGTTCATAAATATAGTGGGGTTGAGTTGGTCAGGTTTATTCAATTTTTATGAGTTAACCCATAAACCGACTCGACCCGACCCGTCTACACAGCCAACCCACCCAACTCGTGTAAAAACAACAAAAAAATCAACCCAAACCACTCGGGTTGGTTCGATTTGGGCGGGTTCAGTCGGGCTTGCCCACCCTTAGTCTGGACTAGTTCTTCTTTAGCTGTTTTCGAAGCCTTTGAAGAAATAGAACATGCGGCGCATAAGCTCAAACAGGTGTAACAGGCTTGTAGGATGGTGTCTCAATAATTGTATGATTCACAACTTCAACTGCTATTACATGTTCTCTTGGGTTTTTTTATCTCGCTTGGTAGGTCCCTTGAGTTCTCCCCTCTAATGCAACTGCCATCTAACCCATCTGAGTTCCAAGTTTTTCATTACAGCCTACTGTTTCTGAATAATTGTCTGTTGGTTTTGGAAATTAGTCTCACTCGTAGTAATAAATTAAGTTAATAATTCCTCCATTAATGGCTTTCTATTTTGCTGCTGCTATTGTTGTTGGAATCCCAGTGGTCTTGCCCGAAGATTTCCTCCTTGTTCTTGACTTTGATTGTTAGTCCACGATAAATTTGGATAATTCCTCCATCCTGAATTATATGTGTTAGAGTATGGGTTGTTATGTTGCTTCTGAAATTCTTGCACATAACTAACCTCCTCGGGCTGGATCACATGTGTGGAGGCTAAAGGACATATTTCTGTAGTATGATCACCCCCACAACCTTTACAAACCGATTTTGATTGGTGTACCATGTTCACATTCTGAGTAAGCATGTCTAACCTCCTTTTCAATGCTTCCATTTGGGTTGCTAATGATGTAGCTATGTTAACGTTGCGTATTCCTACTGTTTTTCTCGACATTTCCCTATCTATTGGCCACATAGATTAATCCTCTACAATTCTCTCAAATAGGTCCAATGCATTTTCCAATGGGATATCCATTGTTGACCCTCATGTCGAAGCATCGACAATGTTGCGAAATTTAAATCTCAAGCCTGAATAGAATATGTAAATCTTGTAATCTTTAGGAATGTTCAGATTATGGCACTTTCTGAAGTAATCTTTGAATCTTTTCCAAACTTTGGATAGCTATCAAGGTCTCTTTGCTAGAAAGTATGGACTTCATTTTTAAGTTGATATACTCGAGAAGGTGGGAAGAATTTCAAAGTGAATTTCTGCACCATGTCATTCTATGAAACAATGCTCCAAGGAATTAGTGAGTTTAGCCAATCTCATGCTCAGTCCTTTAAAGTGTGAGGGAATAAGCGTAATCGAAAAGCGTCAGCAGACATACCCTCGTGACTAATCATGTCGCACAACATCAAGAAGGCTTGGATATGTTCATGAGGATTTTCAGTTGATCTTCCAGAGAACCTGCTGTCATGATGATTTTGAAATAAGTTGATTACGCCAGGTCTAATGTGGAAGCTAGCCTATCCAAATGGTGGATATGTGATAAGTGGTTGCACCAGAATAGGAATAAGATTCACATAATCCCTCACTAAAACTTCACTATCATTCGCTACTGCCCCTGGCTGGTCTGGCTGAACTGGCTGAGGTAGTTGTAATGGATTCTAAACTTGATTCGGATTTTGATTTTTCGGTATTTTCATTGCTTCCCCCTGTTCTCTTCTTCGTTGTATGAAAGTTCTTTTGATTTTAGGGTCTACAGGAAGAAATTCGATATTATTAGAATCTTGCATAAACTACAATTTCCTGAAAAAAGTAAAATAAGAGACTTAGTACGTTCAATAAATAGCCTAAAAATAA